CAGAAACTAAGGAGCTCTTCTCTGTCGTTTTGGTTGACAGGTGCGGTAGGTGCTGATCACCAAATTGTCAAGAGAAGCCTAAGCTTCTGAGAATTCTCACGTTACGACTCAGAACTGGATTGGGACCAGTCGCGACCGTGTGAACGTGTCGGCGTTTTCCCGGTGGTACTTGATACGTGGGCGTCAGAGTAAAAGTACAATGTACGGTGACCTAATTTCTATCAAATCCTCCATCGCGGCCCACATAACCCTCATTCCGGACAAATGCCCAGACAGTGGGCAACCCCATAAATGCCGCACTTTTCTTCCTTACTTGACCACAACCACGTTTTGGCTGGCAATAACAATAAAGGCTCTCACTGTTTTCCCACTGCCTTTACTGGAATCGTTGGGATACGCATAGTTGGACCAGGTTCTGTGATAGTTAAGCAAGACAACACAAAGCCTCAACATGCGACACCTAGTGCATGATCAGAATCCAAATACGAGATTTTGGGCATTTTCTTAGTCTAAATCATTTTCTTTGGACTGTGACACGAAGAACAATCACTGATTCCTGCTCTAGTTACCTCAAGGATTCTTAGTCCGTGTCCATATCTAATCCTCGTTGACGACAACTGTCCGATACGGCATGTGTTGCTTGTCGACTCTCCGTCAACAACTGTCTTTGCCCGTTGCGTTACGGACCATTATTGACCTCCCCTTTGAAAATTCCTCACCATCATTGCACAGCGTAATACAGTGAAGCGAACTTCACCGACCGCTTGCAAGCTCACAATGCACACATGGTAAATGAGAATTCGTAGGGAAGATAGGGATCAAGCCTATTTTTAGGGACGAGAAAAGAAAGCAAATCTCTATGGCTAATATAGTACACAGTGCAACTGTGCATACATACTACTTCAAGCATTCTGGACTGATAAGAAGTGACAGCAAGATCGCCACTAATGTCGGTTTGCTTCTATGGCCTTCAGTGTGTCAAACCATCTAGTTACAGAGTCTTTTGGACCCAAACCCGGAAGACAAGAGACACATACTCTACCCAATCGCTCTGTGCATTTCTTCATGTCTCGTCTCCATTTCATTTGCCGACCTCTATGGCTTTCTAGATTCTGCAGTGGTCACTGCAAATTGGGCGGTGTGCAGTAGGCGACCATTAGACATACGCAAAATGTGTTCTAACCAACGGAACCATTTGAGCTGAATGCGATGCGCCAGCCAGTTCGTATTTGATGCGTTCCCAAACACCCGACGGCCTAATTCTAGGTTACCAACCTGCTCACTTTATCTCACGTGAGTCAAACTACGTGAGTATCGATTGTCGAAAACCACTAAGCGACGGATGTCTTCTACCCTCAAATTCAACGTCTTAAAGCAGAACTGATCATACAGTAGCGCAGTATACGCGACTTTTCAACTTGAGTGAAACGTCACGTCGTCACCACAAGTATTTTAGTCCCACGTACGCTGATTGAGCCTTGGAAATGCGGGTGATCATCTCCTTTGATGCGGTACCCCCGTTGGTCACGCAACTACCCAAGTACGAGAAGCAGTCAACTCCAGCCAATTCCTGACCGTCTGCTTTCAGAACGGGATTCGGTAACATCGTCTTGCAGCATCACTTTGTACTTTGAAGGTGCACAGTCCAAGCTGAACGTAGCAACAGAACTTACTAGTCTGTCAAGTGCGCTTTGTGCATCCTCCATACATTCAAACAGGCAAACGATGTCGTCCGCGAGTGACCTCAGTACGCTCACATACTTCTGCGGCATCCCTCCGTTTGCGAAGCAGCAAACCCATATGGGATTCGCGGTAAACTGTGTCAAACACTCTTTTTAGGCCAAGGAACACGATAACCGTTGCTCGACGGTGTATATGGCTTAGCTCGAGGATTTGACGCATCGTGAAGATTTGGTTGATACAAACGCGACCTGGTTGGAATCCTGCTTTTGTTTCTTCAAAGGGATCAAACGTCGAAGTATGAAGGACGGTGATGATTGGAACTAAACTTGTTTTGCACTAATTTATGAGAGCTCTTCTTAAAATTCGGAACGACCAGTGATTCGCTTTAAGATGACGGAAGGCGCTGTTGTGAGCAGATGTTATTCGTTAAATCACTATTGGAGTCTACGAGGTCATCAAACCCGATCTTGAAAAGAGTAGTAGGAAACCCGTCCGGTGTGCTGCTTTTCCTTTCTTCAGGGCTTGGATGCAAGATCGTACTTCTGCTTCAGTAGGACGTTCGCATAACACCGCCCACGCAGTCTCAACTACAACAGGTGATACGGTTTGGTTAGCGTAAGGCGAGCTGAGCTGTTCGGTCAAGCCATTGTTTCCTATTGTGAATAGCTTGTCCACTTTGTAACAGATTTTTTCACCAGCTGAGGTCGCAAACCTTGTGTTGCGTATCAGTTGGAGCAGCCTTTGACTATTCCCTGATGCACCTGCTACTTCCATCTCACTAGTTATTGTTGCCCACCTGTTTTCACGATCTTTGTTGCGGCCCATCGTGAGCTCACTTTGCGGACGCCACCCACCCCTGCTTTGATCCCGGTCGGTCGGAATTTGCCACTTTTTCTCCATCAGTGCTACTGATTCATTAGATAAACCAACGCTTCGGTCGGTCTCGAACTCAGGTCCACAAGCATTCCTCCCTGTGGAATGCATTACTTGTCTAATCCGATCCGATTGTTAATGTACACCCCCACACCGCAGCGCGTTTAACTCTTGTCTTAGTTCTGATTCAAAGCGGGCACGAACGTCTGGGTCGGATAAGTGATGATTAGCAAACCGGTTTCTGTGGCTTTTTAAACGATCAGTGAGTCGGAAAGTAGCCACATCAAAAGTAATGTGTGGTCAGACTCAACACAGGTGGTCAAATAGGACCTGCAGTTTGGACTGAGTCACGCCACGGTAGCTTACTACTATGTGGTTGACTTGAGTTAGAGTGCGAATTGAGCTGAAGCGCTACGTTGCCGTCCGTCAAGAACTGTGTCGGATGTTTGGTACCAGATATTAACAAACGGTGATCTGTGCAAAACTGAATAAGTCGATCGTCGTTATGTTTGCCGGTAGGTTAGGGCACAACTATTGCCTAGGTAAGCTTCTGGTGCGCTCAGTTTTCAAAACTGCGCTTTAAAATCACTCATGGACACAACTTTCTCGGAGCTTCGGGCATGATAAGACCTCCTGGCTTGACAAAAGCCATCCTGTGTAACACGTTGGGCCAGAGAGGTGCACAAGCCATCACACTACGTCAAGGTACAGTCTCATCGTGATGGGAAAACTCATGCGCTTCGTAGCGTCTATGTTTATCTTTCTATTCTTGCCCTCAGTTGCTAACTAATTTTCCCAATATATACTTGCAACAGACATACATTCTTCGGAAGTGAATACCACCTCGTGAAGACACAATATTCAGTCAGGTATCAAAACTGAAATAACTGCCATTGCAGTCATTTGTAAGGAACAATTTGCTGTATAAACAAACTTCAAAATTGCAATACGGTTATATTTTATGTGATCGGGACCGCATCTGTGCTTTCACGCGTTCATTTTTTGGGAGCAACACCGATCAAACTACGAAGTAGCTGTCGAAGAAGATACGGTCCGTGGTGGCCCGGTGGTAACGTTACCAAATTATCACCCCGGAGTACGCGTTTCCAAATCCAAACAACACCGCCCGACTTTCCTAATTGTGTGTTCTATGGCATTTCTTTGATTGGCTGCTTTCCCCTTCTTGAAAATTGTATTATGTAATCAATAAAAGAAAGCAAAAATGAAAAAAAGAAAAGAAAAGTGAACCCCTTTAACTGATCAATGATAAGATAAGGACGCAGAAAAATATTGTCTGACAATACAATAGAAGCACGACACCCAGTGAATGGTAATTAGTCTTCCCGGATAGTTCACTACATCTCATCCTTGCAAAAATAAGTTCAATTTTTTTTACCATCATGAATGGCCAAAGGAAGTGCAGTCCAAGTACGGAGTCTATGTGTTGCCAGATATAGCTTCATTCGATTAGTGGTGAGAGGAAGATATTACGCGACGCTCATCTGCAGAACGCACCAACGAATAAACACGAGAGTAATCATGTGTCAACACGTGTTATATCGTTGTGCATAATTTGATGCGATCTAAAGTGTATAAGTGACAACACATCTCTGATCAGCTGCTCAACTATCAACAAAAGATTGTTTGTTCATGTTCTCAGTACCGCAGTATGCCTACCTGCAGAAAGATGCAGCTTTTTTGATAAATTACGGCCTGTTCAAACACCAAGAGTCTCATCAGCACCTATGGGTGTATATAAAGAGCGCTAAAAGTAAGGCATATAACTTGAATTTAGTGGTATGGTTTATGGGTGAGATGTGCTGTACAACCACAGGAGTCAACTGGTTGGTTATGGTCATCGGTTGTCCTAGTTGGGGAGACAACCACATATATTTCCACAATGATCATCACGACGTTTTAGTATGTAGCCATCCAATTATTTGACCATGGTAGAATCTGTTATTTAATATTTTCTTTATATAACATCATTTGAAAATCGTTGAAGCGGCTTCCACCACTGTCGTCTTCATTTAAGTAGCCATGCTTTTCGGTGTTACTGTTCTTGCCCAACACCGTGCATCTTGTTTTACCTATTGGGCTATTTTATTAATGATACATTGGGATTAGTTTGTCCGAAAAATGGTTCGTTCATTTAGGTCTCAAGTCACAATAAGTAAAGCAAACGTTCTCTATGGGCAAAACATTCTATACATGTAGTATATAAGGTATTCATTTAATTGGTGACTGGAAACCAACTCAACACCCGACTCATTAATTGTTGAATTACTTGTACGGTCAACAAGAGCCCTGTTATTACTATTACTGTTGTTAGCTTGATATAGTGTAGCAACGGCTCTTTAATATGTACAATATGTCTGAACATTCACTCCTGAAACTCAATCAGTCAACAGACTGTTCGAAGCCGTTCTATACACTATTCTGTCATGTACAGTCCCAGGTGATTGGAACAAATCGTGCGTATATCGCTAGAGTGCATGTGCTTATGCACTAGATCGTACATCTTATTTTTGGCTCATGCAACTTATTTATTGACACACATGAAAAGCCTCTTTTTACTTATGTAGTTCTGTTGATATCGACAGTAAGAGCATTTACTAATGGACACAATCACCTAGGAGTCGGCGTGCGGATTGCGTCAGTCACAATTAGAATAAGCTCGTGTACGTTTTGGTACGTAGATGCTTGCACTGTATTCATCTAATTACAATTTGTTCCAGGTGAATCGACCTGTCCGTCACATTATTTTTTATGGAGCGCTATCGATCAGTTTATTGGTTGAGTGAATTTCTGGCCTTAGTTTTCAAGCTCACGGTATTAGTATTATCGAGAACCTGTTTAAAAACTGGTTTATTTAGCAACAAACTGTGACATTTAACCAGTTTGCTTGTCAATACTTTTCTTTACATTATAGAAATCATCGAGTACTTCAGGAAAAAGCGAGTCACGTCACTCGCTTCATTGCTTTGGCAGATGTTAAAAATCCCTTGAATCGTAAGGTAAGTCGCAATGTGAACGTGTATCTCATCTACCTTTTCTAGTATCTGTACGCGTTAAAGTTGGTTCCGATCGACAAGATGACACGAGAAGATCTTACCAATCAGCCGGAGGACGTGACTGAAAATCCCTATCGCGAAATTGCGGAGGCGGAAAGCTTTCCGGGCAAAGAGACAGTAAGCTGTGAAATATGACTAAATGGAATTAAGCTTCTTTCAACTTCATAGTGCTTGAGCATCTGTCGCATCTTAAATGGTGCTTCTTATAATAGTTATATTGTTTGCCCAGGTTGAATTTGTGCTTCTTATACTAATTGCCGAATTCGAATATCACTGAAAATTCACCCGTCAGATCTGAAATCTACATAGTACTAATCAGCGTTTTACTTGGAGTTCTGACTTCTTAAAATTCGTGGTTCGTATTCAGGATACATAAGTCACGCATTGTTCAATAACTTGCATTATTGTCTCTCATATTTATGTCACTGGTGGCTCTCTGAATGTTATTTTTCAGTTTATGCCAATAATCTTGCATTTTCTTCCATCAATTAAAGTTGTCATTTTTAGTTGCTCATTTGGACGAAGAAGTAGAAAGAATAAGTATAATGCCCGGAGGATAAAAAATTTAGGTTGATTAAATTTACAGGAAAGTTTACAACACTTAACCATTACGACACTACACCTTGACGTGGTCTGATGTCTTGTGCACCT